CCGCCGGGGCCCGCCCGGGGTCCCGGGTTGCTCAGAGCCACGTGTACTTCCCTCTGTAATCCCCATCGGGAAGCGAGGGAGGGACTTAAAGAGACCGCAGCTCGCAGAGCCGCTTCCAGACTGTTTTCTTCTTCGATTCCCTCCTTGGTGCCTTATTTCACAAAGGATCCCGATGGCCTTCTTTTCTTCTTTCTCTTGAGCGCCGTGATCTAGACTGTGTTGCTGGGGGAGTTTGCTCTCTTGGGCCACTGTGGGGGGAGGAACCTGCCTGGCACACGTAATTTAGAAGCTGGTCCCGACGAGGTGGCAGCTGTACAGATGCCACCGGCAGGAGAGAGGAGGGCTGGCATCTGGATGTCAGGCCTGTCATTCCCGCAGATAGAGTCCCTCGGTGACCGTAAGCCAGGAGATGTGGGTCTGGGAAAGCACCAGCATTTGAAATAATGTCGGAAGAAAAGTCTGTCCTGTGTTTCGCCCTGAAAGGCATCATGTCAAGTTTTTGCTGCCTTTGGACTGAGGTCCAGCTCATTATATTTATTTTTCCTTTACTACGTAACCATAATATGGCCACGCTGTTTAATGTTCTCGGTTGTGTTCCATTCTTCTCTACTGAAGATGCTACCTGTGTGGGTTAGATTTGGAAATGTAATTACCACGACAGGATTTAGCAGTAATCGAAGCAGGTTCAAAGCAGTAATCACATAACGTGTGTCAGTAACATACAAGGCTAGATAAATAATTTTCAACATACTGCCGTATTAACGTGTAAAGTAGTTATTGTGCCCACAGTGCACTTTTGGTGATTTCAGACATTGAGGGAAAAAAAACCTACTCGCTGAAATTATTTGATTCCTAAATTTGCTTGAATTAACTCTGGCCTTTGGCTAGGCCGCCAGCCAATACTATATATACTTAGTAGCAGTGTAGTATTTTGCGGGAATTATTTAATCAGCCCAAGATTGTTGGTTTGTTTGCCAATATGTATTTTCTTAATTGATAGGAATTCCTTTGACTCTTAGAATGAGAATTGAACTGATATAGTTGCCCAGGAGCTGGGACAACTATGATCCTGGTCAGTTTGACACTGAACAGCTGTTAGCGTTGAAACTTGGGCACCTGAGCTCTTCCTTGTACTTCTCTTTGATAGTCTCAGGTGAATATGGAAATACTGAATCGTTTTGGGAAACATTGCCACCAACATAATGCCTCTGCATTATACTTTATAGTTCATAAGATGTTTCCATTATACTTTACAGTCATAAGATAATCTCATTTTATGTTCTTAATTACTTTGTTAAGTAAGCAAGCTTGTCTTTCCTATTCACTTTGTATCACAGAAAACTTAGATGTGGGTATTAAATGATTTTCCCAAGAAATCAAGGCATTCAGTGGCAAACTTAAACCTAAGCATTAAACCTAAGTCATTTGCTTCCAAATTCTGCATGAAGTTTGTCTTCTCATGTGAAGTAATGAAGTATGTAGGATGAAAAAGCTGTAGAAATAACTGTTTTCTTGTTTCTTAATTTCGCTGCACTTTTTTGGTACATGCATTGGGGAATCTTTATCTCATTGAAACTCCAATCTGGCTGGGCACGGTGGCTCAAACCTGTAATCCCAGCACTTTGGCAGGTGAAGGAGAGAGGATTGCCCAAGTCCAGGGATTCAAGACCAGCTTGGGCAACTTGGCGAGACCTTGTCTCTACAATAAATAAAAAAAATTAGCCAGGCGTGATGGTGCGTGCCTGTGGTTCTAGCTACCTGGAAGACTGAGGTGAAAGAATCACTTAAGCCCAGCAGGTCGAGGCTGTGATGGCTGTGAGCGTGCCACTGCACTCCAGCTTGGGTGACAGAGTAAGACTCCTACTCAAAAAAAGAACAAGAAAATCTAATCTATAACTCTCCTATTGTCACTTAAGCTAAAAGTAAAGATTAAATCTTTTTTTTTTTTTTTTTTTTGAGTTGGAGTC